CCGGCAAGACAACCGCGGAGGCGGCATGCAGCTTTGTTCCCTTCCCCAGCAGCGTCGAAGGCCGCACTTTCGAAGTGTAAGCGCTGCTCAAAAACACGTGCTTGCGCGCACGAGACACGAGCCCGAGTAGGGTGAGGGTGGAGGTGTTTATGACATTTCGCTTACTGACATAAAAAAAGAGGAGCGAAAAACCCCCGATCATGGGGCCCCTCGCGTGTTTTCTTCGTTTGTTCGAAGCCGCTTTCAAGAGAAAGCGGACAAGCACCCTGAGGGGCCGGTCACCCACCCAAAGGGCCGGCTTTGTACAAGGATAGGAGTGCTACACGTAGTGCGCGTTCGGCCTCGCTGACATCGCCATGATCTTTGTATATCCCTGTCCTCGAATGCTGCGGCAAAACAACATCACTTTCCGAAATATTTTTAAGTTTCGTTTTTCTTTTTTTTCTTTTTTTTTTTTTCTACGAGCTGCGCATGGGGGCCCCCAGAGAGTCGGGGCCCTGGGCTGCAGCCCCCTTAGCCCGTACCTTAATCCAGCCCTGCCTGGGAGCACCCCTGCGATACTCTGCTCCGCAAGCGGAGCTTATGCAGTTACTCTAGTTCACACTGATTCGCGGTAACATTCTGCGTATGGCTCATCACAAAATATTAACCTACCTTGGCCCACCCGTACACGCCGCTTCGCGGCGCCCCGCTGGCGGCCCAAATACACCCCCGCTGTCCCCCACTGCACCTCGGTTGCTAGGTGTTACGTCACACCGTCGCTCTACATAACTGGCGAGTCCTGTGCGGCGGCCGTCCTTCACACTCAGTGACCCGATTTGCTTGCACCAGGGAGACGAGGGGTTTCGGGAATGTTCGCCCCGCGGAAAACTGCTAAGAGGCTGCATTCACCATGCTTCGTTCTATATAACCGCTGCACGATATGTTAACGCATTTCTTCGAGAATAAGTGTGGCGGCAGCAACAATCTCGGCACAGTTTTTTTTTTTTTTTTATTATTATTATTATCATGTTTGGATCAGGCCGTAGGTCTAGAGTTAGCGCTCTGAAAGAGGAGGTCGTAAACCTCTGTGAGGGGTGAGCCTTTAAACCTGTTGAAATAACTATCGTGAGAGCTTCAGAATTTCTGTCTTGATTTCCACGTTTTAAAAACCTGCTCTAGCTATTCACGCCATGAGATTTGGACCGAAGTGTCAAGAATGGCCGCCACACATCCGGCACGATTGACGACCCCAAGTACTGTAAAACTCTTACCATTCGCGAGCATCTAATTTTCGCCAATAGTAAAATTCGCGAACTTTAGGGGGCGCGAATATTTCTATTACATGTAGATGCAACTTCCAGCCTTTAGAATTCGCGAAATTTAACGGTCGAGAATATGACCCCCCTGCCCAATTGGCGAAAAATCAGGGCCGTGAAAATAAAGGGTCTTACGTATCCTGGAGGCCACGGCGTAGCCGGGGGGTGATTTATTATAATGCGAGAGTATTAGTACCCACATGACAGGCCAAAGCTGATGGCGTCCGTCTCTGAACGAAACAGTGGGAAGGGAAGCGTAGGGAGGATGGGAGTAGTGAAGAACAAAGGCAAGAGGGAGGCGTTGTCACGAGGCGCAAGCCAATGCGCGCGCAGATCCTGGGGCGAGTCTGAACTTGCATGTGTGCGGAGCGCGTGGGCCTTGGTTTTTGCTACAAAATGGAGTGTGAACCAAGTACTATTAGCCCCGAGGGCGAACACAAGCGTCGCTGCGGTCGCCGCGCCCTGATTGAGTGAGGTGTACCGTGACGTCAGGGGGAGGACTCCGCTCCGCGATCTCGCATCGGCTGGCTTCCCAGCACCGGTTTCCTGGTTTGGCGTTGTGTGCCGCAAGCTCTTCGAGAAGCTGGACTTCGTTTACCCGGTGTACAAGACGTTGAGTTAGGCCGATATTGACGTGGTTCCGTACATTTTATAAGGCTGCTTGTCCCTTTTACCTTTAAAATTGGGTTACAAATCCCGAAAACTATCGGCGGAGGCAATTACGCCGATGAACCTCCCCGTCCGTCCACCGACACAAGGCAATCTTGCGAGGCGTCGGTGAAGCGGTGGCGCAAGTGTTTCAGACGCTGGAATTCTGTTCCTTGCATGTTGATGATTTAGGACGATATTACATCCCGCTTTCGAGGCATTTGAAGTGGCATTTATATCATGGGCTTTTGGGTGGTTTGCAAACTAGCTCGCGACCCCGACTTTGCGCTGCCACTCTGCATGCGCTTCTTCGCAGATGTATTAAAGGCCCTGCGTCTGATGATCTTCACTCTCAAGAAGAAAGGGTGTCAAAAGGTGTATTCTTACACCCTTTGTCCCATATAATACACCCCAGAATTTCAATTCGACGTGCAGTGCCCTACAGTCGAACAGAGGGCCCGAAATTTTACGAGGGGCTTGATAGCCGTGTGGTACAACATTTTAAATAGCTAAAGTACGTATCAAAAACCGCATAAAGAAAACACCGAGTTTTCACAGTAGGGTCAAAAAAAAAAAACAGATTATTCTTTTCGTGTTCAGTAAAACGTACATTAGCTATTTTAATGAGTTGTACCACACGGCTATCAAGCCCCTCGTATAATTTTGGGCCGTCTGTTCGACTGTAGAGCGCTGTATGTCGAATTGAAGTTTGGGGGTGTTTTATATGGGACAAAGGTTGTAAGAATACACCTTTTGACACCCTTTTTTCTTGAGAGTGTTTGAAGTGCTCGTGAAACAGGGTTGTTTTACATAAATGTTGCTTCTTCGTGAATTAATTATATAGTTTATACACGTATTCAAGCATATTTATTACAAGATGCACAATTACTGGAAATTCGTTTGTATGGAGCAGCAAAAACGGCCGAATCGCCCCCAGTTGCCTGTATGATATATATTGAACTGCCCAAAATATGCACAGGAATAGTGCCGTAATTTGAATGTTTATACTTTTTCCTCACATTCTTTATTCCAGCCTTGGGTATTCGGAAAATACACCGTTTAGTCTGAATTGTCATTTCCAATTAAAAGAGACACTGCTGCAGGTCCCCAAAAGCTTCCTCAGCCTTCAAACTCCCTACAGCTGGACTCTCTGACAACTGAGGAAAGCAGAAGTAAAATCAAGCATTCGAACGTCTGTCCAGTTGTAGATGCAGCACTAGTAGCAGAAAATGTGGAACCTGGAAGGGTGACAGTCTGCGTGAGAAAAGCTTCTATTATTTTAGCTTCAGGACAATTCGATTTAAGTAAAATCTCAATTTTAGTGCTTAAGAGATTAATAACAAGTTAGACACCTTCGCTTACGTTTGTTATGCATTACTTGAGGGTTGATATAAACAAGTCCACAGATACCACACGTGTAGTCCATTGAAATACTATCGGAATCCAGCAAAGGTCAAATGCGAGCAATGTATACAGTAAATGCTCCTTGTTTGTTTTACTTTGCCCCTGCACTTGGGCTGTCTCAATTGTGATTCTCTCCTCATGTCCCAGACTGTATTTAGCATGTTGCTCGAGCAGCATGCAGCTTTTCTGCTTCGGCGGTCTTGTTTAGAAACAAAGATACAAAGAAAATAGTATACATAACCTGCCAATTCATTCAGAACATCAGCAGCATTTATTGTGCGAGATATAAATCTATAGTGATGCTCCTGCAATTGTGGCCATATTTCTTTATTTTCATATACCAGCTGCGATTCATGCGTTGCCTGCCCTGTCAACCATGCTTAAAATGTTGGTTGAAGTTTCGCCTGTAGCTACAGGCCATACCTCAATAAAGGCACATATAAAAATTTACTCTTCCTGCGAAAAACACGCCAAAAAAAAATCAAATAGAAACGAGCGCGCCGACAGCTAACATCGTAACAGCCTCCACAGGGCAAGCGGGGCGAGTCGGGGAAAAATTCTCTCCTCGCCGTGACGTCACCCCGGTTCGCCGTAAGGGGGCGCCACGCGAACTTCTCGGGGTCGAAGTAGGCGGCAAAAAATTAAAAGAAGATCCATTGGTGGATCCTTAGGGAATGCGTTAGCATGACCTGGGAAACATTCCACACGTCCCCCGGGCCCCTTTGGGAGACACTATAGTCGGTGACAGGTCAAGAATGAGGTGGAAGCCCCTCCCACCCCTTTCCACTTCAGCGGAGCGAACGGTGAAGAGGAGGTCGCCTCCTCTCCAGCGTTCGTTCTACTGAAGTGGAAAGGGGTGGGTGGAGCTTCCACTTTGTTCTTGACCTGTTTTCGTAGACCGCGTTTCCCCCCACTAAGCCTTCCGCAAGGAAGAAGCCGCTACTGCGCCTGCGCGCCGATGGCCTCGACTATATAGCTCCGGGTATCGCAGCGAGTTGCGGAGAGCGTTGCGGGACGGCGAAAGCCATCTACGAAAACTCCCTACTAACATGATCCCGTAACGAAGCCAAAAAGACACCGAAAAAAATAGAGGAAGCAAAAAAGAAAGCCAAAACAGAAAAGTGAAAAGTTCAGCGTAGATTGCTGTCTGGAGGGCGACCAGAACAATCGCAGAACCTACGATGTGCACTCAGATTGCTGACACATATGACGTGAGTACACGAACCTGAAACTTGCGCACGTCGCCCATTCATCTGTCTACAGTAATCGAAGTCTGCGTCTGATAAATAAATCGTTCGAAACAAAAGGAACAATCACAAGGTATGCTTAACCCCCTCCCCTCCCCTCCCCCCCGCCCCCCCCCCCCCCCCCCCCTATATCAAACAGCGTACTGCACTCCCTACCTAATAGGCGTTGCACTGCGCGATGCCGAAACCGTAACCGTAATAGCGTAACTGCCCGACAGTAGCGCACGCTCGAACGAACCGAAAAGTGCAATTGCGTAGCGGTCAATGGGCGATACTCGTGTCGGACGGGCGCAACGACGGGCTTCACACGCAATCCTAACCGGGTTACAGCGGCGTGTAGGGGGGCGGAACGCGCGCCGCCTTTGTCGTTTCTGGCAGCTCGCGCCTTTCGTCTCGCGCCGCCGCCTTTGTACGCGAGCTGCTGGACGGCAAAATAGCGGTGTTCGGCCGTCGGCGGGGAAGGGGTCCTCGGCCAGGTGGGGCGGCAGCGGTGTCGCCGCCACGGTCGCTGCACCTTGATAGAGGATCTGTGCCGCCCGCCGCCGCCGCTCGGGCCGAGGAAATAGCACGCTCGCCGCCGCTGCTTCGAGCCGCTCAGTGGGAGGAGCCGCTGCACCTCACCCGCCGCCGGAGAGGAAGCCGCCGCTGCCGAAGGCCCCGCAGGTTCAATGTCCCACAGGGCCAGCGACGGCTGACGGTACGGCCACCACCGCAGCCGGCGTCGCCTGCTTCGGCAGTTGCGCCACGACTGCGGCCGTCGGCTTGCGATCGTCCGCCTGGTACCACTGTGCACCTAGCCGCGTTCGGTCGTCTTTTACGCATGTCCAATCAACGGGCGGCGTTGAGCCAGCGTTGTCGGACAGTGGACTGGTTTGAGAAGAGTGCACCATGACTGCAGCGCTGACCTTTCGAACGGTGAGTGGAGCTGTGTGCCATCGATGTTTTGGCCGCGCACGTGGCGATATTGTGTCACACTGTCACGCTGCCCGTGGGTGGACACCTGAAGGGACTGACCGCTTCATCCGGTTCAGACTGCATGGTGCCATCCAATGGAACGTTTAAAGATTTGCTTCCGTCTGTGTATATCTACGAAGTAAAAATACCTCTTTCCGCAGATACATATGTACGCATGTTGGTAGCTTTTTGTAGCTGCACGAATGAAACTCGCTGCTATATATGTAATGTAACATTTGTCCGCGTGCATGGGTGGCTCAGTTTGCAAACTGTGGGGATCAATTAAACATTATTTAAATTGTTATCAAAATTTCGGAAAGATACAACTTTCCACAACTCTTCATTTCAGCTAAAGTTTAACGTCCGACGGAAAAACGTAACGTTAAAAATGATAGTAATATTTTTCACAGTTTACGTCTTCATTTTGGAGGAGAAATCTAGAATTTTCGATAGAAAAATCAGCACTCCAGATTCAAAAGTTATGAGGCATGGTGCAAGGCGCAAACAACGGACACAGGGAATAAGTCTATAGATGTTCGCTGTTTTCACGGGCACTTTTACTATATTGAATTATCCAATGTCCGGTTTTTTTTTCTTCTTTTGTTTGCTTGCTTACCAACAAAAAAAAAAATCCGACGGGAAAAAAAAAAGTGGCGAGCGTAAATCCTTGATATACTTTCTGTTGTACGATGTTTTACTCCCGGTCAAATATTTCGTATAATAAAGCTGGATTTTTTTTTATGCGAATATGCCGTGAATAAGCGACAAATTTCGCCCGGCAGAGTTCTCTCTGCGCACAATGTCAGAAGAGTGGCACACGCAAAATGTTGAAACCTTGAATGGTTTTATTTTCCCCAATGACTCCGCCATTTCGGCACCCTTATTTCGAGTAAAACAAGCTTTAAAATAATAAGTTAGGGTTCTGTTCCATGAATTACGCTTAATTCGTTGAACGACGTAAAAAAAAGGCGTAGAAAAGGGTGTTGCTGGGCAATGCAGAGAAGCGGCAACATACACCCTATTCAGCAGCTTTTGCGCAGATTGTTCTAGCCACTTCGTCGAATAATTATACTGCTTGTATCAATAGGGACAGAACGAGCGGGTTGGTATGGATAGTAAACTTGAGGAAGAAAACGAGAAAGGACGGACAAACACAAGTCCGTCCTTTCTCGTTTTCTTCCTCAAGTTTACTTTGTATCAATACTTTCTTTCTTTTCGTGTGATACGGTCCCTACTTCGAGAAATTATACTTTATATAAAATACTGTGAAGAAAAAAACTTACTTCTAACCTTATTAATAGCCGACACTATAATATATGATATTGTAGTTAGTGCGCAGGCGAGCTGGTGGAAATTACCCATTCTGATGTTAGCCTGAGGCGTAGAGACGTATCCTCGACTATTCCTTTTTTTCTTCTACTTTGAAACTTCCTCTTTTCCTGCCTCAGTCTGAGGCTAACATCAGAAAAGTTTATAGCGGTGGAGGGGGGTGATTCTGGCCTGACGTGTGGTTCGTGCCGTCTGCATACACGCCTATGGCTTCTGTGCACTGGACAACTATTTGTGACGTCCTTGTTGCTTATAAACTTGTTGCTCATTAACAAACTATATCTAAGACGCCAGCACCCTATTTGTATGGTGTTCACCACCTTTATAAATAGAGTGCTAGATACAGGGTGCCCCAGCAGCACCATTTACGGCGAGGAGATGAGACCGTCCTGGCCCCTAGGGGCTAAATTGAGAACTGTACCCATGGGGACAACAACATAAATGATTACTTGTGTTTTGACGCGGCGCTCGGCCCACTTAGCCGAACGTTGCGTCAGCTTTCGGCCGGGACTCGTGTTCAATCAGTGGAGCCGAACGCGCACAAAGCACTCGTGGATTTTTTTTTTATATACTTTATCTTTTTTTGAATGAGCGCGAGGCAAAATTGGGCACGAGCCGCGCCCAATTTTTGCCCCACCCGCAATAAAGAAAAAAGAAGTAAAGAATCCAACGCACGTGCCTTGTGTTGGTAAACACAGAAGTCTGGAGAAAACCCACACCGGGCGCGAAGTCCGTCGATACTCGCTCCATAGAGTTCAGACGTTCGACGTCTACGCCGCAGACGGGAAGCTTAGCCATGTAATATACGACTGCTGACCTATACTGCGTATCCAGAAAAGATTTTGGAGGAAGTCGACAACTTCAGCGCTCTGGCACGTTTCATCACATCGCCTTGTTTACAGGGGCGGAAAGCTATAGGTTCGAGGTTTATAGGTAAACACATCTCAGTGGTTCACGCGCTAGACTTTAGCCATCTCCCACGTTTGCTTTCATTTATCCGGTAAGCAACCTTGGAGCCGGCTAAGGGCCAGCCAGTAAATCACCGCGGCCTTTTTACCTACATTCAAAAAAAGAAAAGGTTCCTGCTGTTACATTTTTTAGGGTGTAACTTGCTTATCCCTGGGGTGCGTCTCAAAAAGTTAGCAAAGTTACCCTCCCGCTTGGAAGCAACTTTTACACCCTCTGTCAGCGTGCACCTGTGCTCCCTTGGAGAGACAACCTACAATAGCCTTTGCATCAAGGGTGTAATTTGACTTCCATTAAGAGGTAATAGGGCATACTTTCGGGTTGAAGGTTTCACCCTTTTTGAAAGTGACAGCACACGCTTCAAGGGTGCAACTTCACCTCTTCTAGAGGGCAATAACAGACAACCAGCTTGCACCCTCTCTGAGGCTACCTCAACGTTACCAGAATACTGATGGGAAAACTGTCATAGGAGTCTGCATACAAAACGTGGCACCGATCAGTACTCGAGAACCAAACTAAACGCGATGCATCGCCGCCATTTGACCCGCACCGACCACTTAGCGAACTCCAGGGCTGCACGTATTCGTCCAAGGGGCCGTTGGCGCCTTCTCGCAGTAGTCAGAGTATCGGATACGATAGCGTTTCCAGCAACTTTTAAAATTTGGCTTTGATCGGTCATTCCGGCACCGAAACGTATACAGTTTTCAGGGCTGCCAACCCCTGTCTCTCAAAGGGGCGAGCTCGGCGATGTCAGGACGCACCCAGGTTGGGAAGCGCTACCTGAAGTCACAGGTGAGACATCGTTGTATAAAAACAATATTAAATGTGCCACAAAACGCTGTAAACTAAATTTGTATGCAAACATCACGCTCCTGTCATTTTGTACTAATCTCAAATAAAATTCCATGCAAAACGAACTTTTTTCGTTTTTTTTTTTTTTTTAAATATGGTTTCTAAAACCGAGAAATACCAGCATTCCAGCGCCGACGAAATCCAAAGGAGAACGACGGAAGTTACGTGGGGGCTAACATTACTTTCTAAAAATGCATTTCAAATAGGGGTAGGGTGACCACCCGTGCCGCGACTCGCGGGACTGTCCCGCACTGAGGGCTCGTGTCCCGCGTCCCGCAAGAAATTCCAAAATATTCAAAATGTCCCGCATTTCACATTGTCGTAACATTCACTACGCAAATTATGGCGCTTCCGAACAACGGGCAACGGGGAAGCGCGGAGGTCGCTGATAAACGTGTGAATCTCGATGGTGTGTAATTTTGTATCCAAGCACTGCGGGAAGCAACCGTCGTACTTGCAGGGGACTAACGCGAATAAGCCGTTGTGCCTCTCCCCTTGATGGCAAAGTGCAAGCGAAAATCGCTCCCCAAAAGTTGAAAAATCAACCATTGTAATTATTTGCGCATCATACTGTATCAAGCGAAAGGGTTGTTGTAAAAAGCTTTCTTTCTTTTTTTTTTTCTTTTTTTAGGGGCGAAGTTTTTTAAGGGGTGTTCACACAAGGGAGAAATCACGGGGATTTCTCCCCGGCACACGCGCATCACGAGATGAAAACGCGAGGCTTTTGCACATCGTAAAGCCTGACGTTTTCGTCGTGGGATGCGCTTGCCGGGGAGAAATCCCCGGGATTTCTCCCTCGTTCGAATACCCCTTTAGGGGTTAGCCATGTCCGAATGTCCGTCCGCCGTCGGGTGCACGTGCTCCTGCTCGTGAGCTCACGCGCTCACGTGCTCCCGAGCACGTGAGCACGTGCTCCCGTGCTCGTTTTGGGCAAAAAAACAACCGCATCTCCACGTGGTGAAAGATGTTGATTGGGGCGAAGCTCCGGTGGTGCTTGTCTGCGTAGACGGTGAGCCGCAGCATGCCGAGCCTTTCGTTCGTTTTCATCCATGTCAGAAAGAGAATGTGTGGTATGGAACATGGTTATATACGCATTTGAGCATTTGACCGCAGCGTGACATGGATGAAAACGAACGAAAGGCTCGGCATGCTGCGGCTCAGCGTCTACGCAGACAAGCACCACCAGAGCTTCGCCCCAATCAACATCATTCACCACGTAAAGATGCGTTTTTTTTTTTCTTATGAAGATGGCCACAGAAGCACAAGGCAGAAATCCTGCAAATTATAACGTTCAAAAAACAACAACATAAGGCTCAATTTTTTGTGTACGAGCATTTTAGTACGAGAGTAAGTATCGACAGGAAAGAGTAAGCCGAAAACTATTTACTGCTTCCTAATTCCTTTCGATGCATTGGGGTCTGGTGCAGTCGATTTTTAAATTTTCAACTTCGAAACTTTTAATAAAATATTTACCATTACAATTAAACAAAAATATATCACTGTCAGTGAAACTTATCTTAGTTTAATTGCCGCGTACAATTTTGTACAATTTTCAGGTGTATAATACGCTTTGGGACAGCACAAGATTTCGGGGTGCACGCGTTGGTGAATTTCCTTTACTACTTATTTCTTGAGTCGCGAAAATACCGCATTTCGCCGGCAGGAAGGTGGTCACCCTAAATAGGGGGCGCTAGTATCTGTCCCCTCGAGGTGGTAGTAAGCCAGGCACTTCCTTTTTCAGCAGATTGAGGGTGTAAAAGTTGGTTATTCCACCCTTTTGGTAACCTTAATGCAACTTTTCTTCTAAGAGTGAT